GTAGCTCTAATACAGCGAGTACAGAGAGAGAGAGAGTCTCACAACTTACCTTGATGGAGGTGTTGAGTGACGTGTATCGTGACCAACGGCTTCTCCTGGCCTGGTGCCGTGCCCGAGGACTTGTGGCCAAATACTGAGAGCCGGTTGGTCAAAGTGTCCAGCTGCCGATTTGTCTGCGCCAAATGATCAGATTCGGTATGTGGGGTGACGGCAGCGGAGAGTGGGTGACGCACCTCTCTGGAGCGATCAATCGACAGGTGACCCAGCGAAATGCGGTAGGCTGAGCTAGGCGAAGGTCCGCCTCTGCGCTCGAACACACCGCGAACCTTCTTGAGCAGCACACGCAGGTATTCTTCCTCGCCCATTTCCTCCTTCTCGGCGTCCATCGACAGACACACGCTGACCTCCGGCAGCGAGAAGAATACGGAGAGGTCGCTCATAGCCAAAGGTCGAACCACGTGGGTCTGAGCGGCCGTCGAAGGTGCGGTGCTTAGCCCAGAGGCTTGGCTGGGCCGGGATCTGTTGTGCCAAGAGCCAAACGGTGAGAGAAAGCCAGACGATCATTGCGTACAGCCACGTACCGAACGGCCCTCGCGATGCTGGAGAGGAGGCGTAGGTGACGCTGCGACATGACCAAGTTGAACGACGGCTGGGAGGAGAGGATAATGTCGACGTTGGTGGCAGCGACACCGGGGCTGGTGCAGGCTCCGCCCTTACGCTGGAGCTTGACGTTGAGCTTGATGCCGCTCTTGTTCAAGACAGGTATGGCAAAGTCGACGAGCGAGCCCCCGTCCGAGGTCGATGTCGATGTAGAGGAGACGTCGAGCAGGGTCAAGTCAGTCACCTTGAGCACGATCGTATCCTCTCTGTCGGTTTGCTGCTGGCTCTTGGCCGAGGTCGAGGCCTGATCGCCGCTTTGGCTCGCCTTGGGCTGCCCTTCGGTGAGGACCTCAAGCGAAGTGAAGCTGCACAGCAGGCGACCGTTGCAGCTCTTCTGATCGTCGCCGCCGACCAACACCACTTCGGTCTTGCTCACGCTCAGCTGGATCGCCATTTCACCTGCTGCACGGCAGGTCGGTCGGCCATGAAGAGTCGCTGCGTCGTGCGGCTGATGAGTCGGTCGTGGGGTCGATGGGAGAGCGACTGGAAGATTGACGCAGACCGACGGAAGCGGAAGGAGGACAGTTGCTTCGCCAAAGAGGGACAGAATGGCCGCTAGATCCGCTGCCGAGACGACGACAGAAGAGTCGCGAAGTTGTCCAATGATCCGTTCGTTCAAGGAGCTGCGAGGGCAGCCCTGCGCAGACCATCGCGCCTCCCACAGCCCCGAGAGGAAGGGCGTTGGGCGCTCCGATTCAGTGCCCCGAGCGGGGAGCGACACCAACCTGGGACAGAGGAACGATCTGGTTAATCGTTCCGTACTGCAGAGGAGTTGTTATATACTATCAATTTTTTATATATGTGTACCCCAATGAGAGAGAGAGAGAGAGTACCTCTGAATAGAGAACGGGTGGACTTGATTGTGTTTGGAGCACATGAGCGCGCCCAGTGAGACCTCGGACTAAGAAAAAAATATGAGGGTACTCCTGATCATGCCGTTTTGGTTCAAGGTGTGTTGTACCTTGAAGTGGTCCGGGGCCGATAGCATGCTGACCTCCAGTCTTTGGAGATCCGCAATGTAGACCAGATGCGCCGTCGGTGGTCCAACAACGAGCGCCACAGAAAGAGACCTGAGTGCGATCTCGAGTGAAAGCGCCATTCCAATCGCGCTGGCCTGCTTCTGGAATTAGGAGAAGGGGTCCTTTTAGACACGCGTACATGACGGTGTTGGTAGGTGGGGGATACTCTACCAGCTCATCGTCCAGGCCTGACTCCTTGCTCATGGTGACCGGGCTCTTCGGCCGTCGCAGTGACAGCAGACTGCACTTGAGCGAAGCAAAGAGGTATCGGCAGGTGGCCAGGCTGTCCGCAGAGAGCTTGACCTCTCCACCGTCGATCTCCGATTTGAGATCAACCTTGCTCGGGCACGCCGCGGGTGAATCGCCAGCGTGGAGCAGTAGAGAGCCGCTAATGGAGAAGCCGGAAAGCAGTCGGTGGTGCGCAGGCGATGGCATGGTCGGAAAGTGGCGAGCGAACGTGGGGAAGAGGGAGGCGCTGAGACTCGATATCGTGTGCACATTCGCGTCGGTCAAGCGTAGCCTCCAAATCGTGGGCGCCTCGGGCGTTGCCGGGGCGGAGGAGGTGAGGCTCAACTGCGGCAAGTGGATGGAGACGACCGCTGGGTCGTCCGCAAGGTTCTCGTCGTGCCAGATACTGGAAACTGCGAGATGGAGATTGTGCACGCCAACGTCAAGCTGCAACGGGCGCCATCGCTCCAGCTAGCATTACCAGGCTATGGTGAGTGAACAATAAAAAACTGTAACATGCAAGGGCTTTAAGGGGTAAGAACCTTTTTGGCCAGCGACTGCCTCGCGCGTTGGAGCGCCGAGTAGCGGAAGAAGAAGCCGTCCTCGGGGCAGGTGGCCGAGATGACGACGGGTTCGGTAGTCAGCCGCGTAGCTAATGCGTGTCCCTCTTGTTCATCGGGCTTGCTGCTCTTCGATATGAAGGTCGCGGCCAGCCAAGAAATCCAGTCGTGGACGATGTGGCAGTAGACCAGCGACAAGCCCGAGGTGTGAAGCCGAACGTGACTGTCACCCGCCTCATCGCCCACAGTCACCTTTTCTGTGGACGGCGGCAAGCGCAGTGATAAATCGAATGCGTCCGCTGCGGCCTTGCCTTCCTCACTGGCAGTGCAAGAATGACGATTGGTGTGAGTCAACTGCTCAACAACGAGGCCGCATAGATTCGCGCGTACCGATTGGGGACGGTGGTCAGCAGAAGGAGAGGCGAATCAGAGGGTGCGGCCCCGGGCACGACCGGATAGCCCCACCCGGTAACGTGCGCGAAAGAGAATCGAAGGTCGATTGCGGGAGGAAGTCCCGACAAGGAATAAGGCGAATAGCCAAAGTCAATCAGTCCCAGAGACAGCTCGATGCTCGGCTCTGGAGTAGCAGAATCGGTTCCTTATGTCAGTTGCGCGGGACTGAGTGGCACAGATAAGCTGACATGCGAGCAGAGAGTACCGGTAGGATCCAACGCCGTGGCAAGGTGCTTGGCAGCACTTGGCTCACTGCTGAGCACCAGCGTTTTCTGCAACAGGGTGTCTCGTGAGTACGCTGAAGAAAGAAAGTTTGTCGGAGAGACATACGATCAGCTCGATTTGCGGCTTGGTCAGCTTGATTGTGAACGGCGAAGAGTTCGAGATCAGGAATTGTTTTGCAGGCTTCTTGTTCTGCGTCAGCAGCGAGTGGAGGTCGCCCAAGAAGGACTTGTTGAACAGGAACTTGCCCGAAACCGGCGAAACCAGAAGTTGAGTCTGTGACCAGCAACAACAGTCAGGGCAAGGCCTACGTCAACAGAACTAAGAAGGGAGACGTGCCGCGTAGCCTGTGGGACCATCGAGCGTTACGGTAAGCCCCTCCGTCTGCAGCAGAAAGCCATTGTAGATCTCATTGGTGTTGAACGTCGGAGGCACGGCGAAATGCTGCACTGATGGGAACGAGTCGGCGTTGCTGAATCGCAGGGTGTCACATGATACGACCATGGAGGGCTCGCCGTCGTTCTCTTCGTGGAGCCCCTGCCGGCACCCGGGCACCAATCGTCCCGAAGACCTCGAGAGTCGAACATCGAGTACCATCGGCGGCGAAGACAGCCAGAGGCGACGCAAGAATTCCGCCACGTCACTGGGCGTGTCGTCGTCCTATGCGCGGAAGACTTGACGTATCAGTGCCGCCGTCATGTGACGTTTGATTGTGGCGAGGAGGAGTACCAGAGCTGTAGAGACGGCGCGTTCCCTGCGAGGAGGCACGAAAAAGTTGATCAAGCTCTTGAGGGCCTCTTCGTCGTAGGTAACGGACAGTGGTGAAAAGGCGAAGTCGAGATGCATGAACAGAGGCGGCTGAAAGTGGGGAATGCCCACCACGAGTTCACTGGGCACATCACAAAATATAAGCCAGGCACTATCAGTTTACACTTGGCACCAAATTATGTACCTCAAGTGTTTGGCGAGCGGCTTCCGCCCGAACGAAAAGGCAACCGCGTTGAGGATGGACCACACACTGGCGTCGTTGAGCTCTAAATGCATCTACATTAGCTATGCACCGCAGCGATAAGACGAGAGGTTCATGGGCCCGTACCAGGTTGCATCTCCTCGGCGTTCCAGAAGAGGGAATGAGGCATGTGGGAGAACACGCCATCTTGCTCAGACCTGCCATCATCAAAATTAGCACTGAGGGGCTGGTCGGCAAGTACAGGGCGGGTACCTGCAGCTCACAAGCGGGCGATGCTTCGTGCGGTAGTTCAGGCCGTGTACGCCAACGTCGAAGACTGGTGGCTTGCTCTGGTCAAAGTTCTTGAATAGCGAGATGCCGACGGCGAATCCTTCGACGTCGAAGCAGCCAAACTCGTCGAAGGAGAAAATCTTCCTCGGTGGAACTGTGGCAGCGAGCGAGTTCCTCCTCTTTTCGTTCCCTTCGTCGTCGACGTCGAGGCGCGGTCTGTCGCCTTCGTCGGGCCGGAAGTCTTCCTTGTCCCCACCGTTTGACTCCGTGGCGGGCGAAAGCGGCGGTGACGTGGGCGGCAGCGGAGGGACGTTGCTCAACGAGAGTCTGGCCATCGCTGCAAACAGGGATATCTGGATCTCCGTCGGTGGAGAATTCGCTCGCCGCTCCTTCTCGCTTTCTTCAAGTGGGCTGCAGCCATGTCGCGGGTCAGAACAAGGTGAAGCGATGAAAGAGACGTACCCACAAGTCCAGAGACCAGAGCTAAGGGGGCAGATCGTACTCTTCTTCGACCATGATGTCCCACGCCCAGGAGAGCCAGCCCTTGTTTTCCCCCTGTGCGCCAGCGGGACCCTGAGGGTCGGCGGAAGCCGAGATGCTCTTGGCAGTCACGGCCGGGGAGGCCAGAGCCTCGTTGGGTTTCTCCGGCGAGCGCTTGGCCGCCGCCGCTCGTTGCTTGTAGTTGTCGATGATGCCCAGCAGCTGCCGGTATTGGTCTAGGTGGAGAAAGACTGGCAGGTTGCCGGTGTGAATGTCGATACGTTGCTGCCGCACGCTCCTCACTTCCGAGCCGTCGCCCACTTCGTTGCCCTTGGCTGGTGGGCCTTCCGCAAACTTCTGCTCCAGCTGTGAAAGGAAGATCCGGACATCCAGGTCGAGGTCTTCCACCACAGGTTCTATAGAAGGGATCAGAGGTTAATCAAGAACAAGGACGCTACGTGACCGACGATAGGCACGTACTGTAAAGAGTTCCGATTTTGCCCGGTTTCGTGTAGGCATCCATGCTCAAAGAGAAGCCGTCCACCTTGCAGGCTCTGCGTATTTCCGATTGTGGTGTGACGTCCTGTTTGTAGAGCGTCAGCGGTCAGCACCGTACACTTTATCATGGTCATGTTTGAGAGAGCAGAGACTGGGAATATACCAAAAATGCCTTCAGCCAGTTGCCATCTGTGGGGTAGCAGCTGATCTCTTGGCACGACGCGGAGGCGATCACTGACGCATCGCTATCGATGTAGGTGATGTTGAGGTCCTTGACGTGCACGATGACGTTATGTTTGATCTTTCTCACCAGCGATTTGATCCACCCCTCCTCGCCCTCCCCTTCTTCTGCTCACGCCACGCAATGGCACCACGGTGAGTTGCGCCGGTGCATGGAAGGTGGGGAGAGCACTTACCATCTTTCTTCTTGGGCACTTCGGTTGGTCGTGTAGGATCCTCGCTTACAGGCTCTCGCTCCGCGGCAGAGGCAACGATCTCGATCGAGTTGATCCACACCTGCATTCACCAGTTGATAGCAGAACGCTGCGCGTGAGGTGGTGCGCAAGCAACAGAGAGAACGAAGGTGTCGTGACGGAGCCGAACAGAGGTATCATGGTCCCTAGGTCGGTACCTCGACTGACTCTGACGTAAGCGCGGTCCAGGGGATGTGCACTCGCAACTCGCGGATGAACCCGCTCTGGAGGGTAATGGGCAGCGCCATTCGCTTCAGCTCCTCCTCGAGGGCTAAGGGAGAAAAAAAAGATTGATGAGAGATTCAAGGTGCAGAGGGAGGGAGCAGCGTAGGGGCACCTTGAACGCGGACAGCGATGTTTTGCAGCACGATGTCACCGCCCCAAAGGGAGAGTTGTAAATCAGGGACATTAGAGAGATACTTCTTGGCATAGCCTTCCACAATGGGCGACAGGTAGCTGGCCAACATCTCCCGCGACTTCTTCGCCGCGAAGTTGATCATGGCGTCGAATGCGTCGGTCGATCTTCTTCAGATTTAATTTGTGTGTTGCTCGATTTGCCAGTTGTGTCACGTGGTCCTGCTCCACAGGCGTCCAGCAAGAATCTCTCGCCCCTCCAGCGATTGTACAAGCGTTCACAGAGCTGCAGTCGCTACGCCCTGCAACGTGGCCGCAGTACAGGTGTCGCGCGTTTGTAGCAAACCTGAGTCGACGCGGCTTTTCGGAGCACTTTTCCTGTCTCCTTATTTTTATCAGTTTGCCGGAATTAATAATATCAAGCAAATAATAATTATAATCGACTAAATGCATCTCTCGTCGGCCGGTATCCCATTTGAGAAACGACCGCAGCTTCCCGCTGAACCCACGGTGCTGGCTGGCTTCTCAGCGGACGCGCTTACGCGCACCCTCCTCAACGGGTTCTACGTGGTCAAGACCCGCCTCCAGGTGCGTCGGCCCCGATACCACTTCTGCCATGCCTTCGTCGAGACGCAGAACCTCTGGCGTGAAGGAATCTTCGGATTCCTCCGGTACGCTCCCCGCACTTTGTTAATCCCCCCCCCCGATAGCGCGACTTCTTACCGGCATGGCGCAGGGGCAATGCTGCTGGCTGTCTGCGCGCGGTGCCCTACTCCGCGGCCAAGGTAACTCCCCCGTTGGCCTCAACCTCCAACCTTCTCTGGCTCAAGAGGGCTGGTGTTCGTTGTGATTGTTTAGTACGCCACGCACCGAGCGGTGGAGCCGTTGCTGAAAGAGCGCCTGCCTGCGGCAAGGGCCGAGTGGGTGGCGAATGGCCTAGCCACTGCGGTGGCGGTTGCGGTGACCTACCCGCTCAACACACTGCAGACGAGGATCGCGCTGCTGCCCCTCGAGCAGGCTCGGTACGCTCACATCATCAACGAGCTCGCCAACAGTAACGGTACGAACGAGCCGCATGCACCTTTGCTTTTGCGCTTTCTGCTGACTTCCGCCTTGATCTTGAGCAAAGGTGGGCTTCTGGACGGCCTCTATGCGGGCATCCTGTCCGTCATCCCTGGTCAGCTCGCCTACCAGGCTGGCCTTCACCTCGCCGACAAGCTGTTCCTGGCCGTCATTGGACCCACTGACGAGAGCCAGCACCCCACCAGGTACTCCAACGCACTCACATCGTTACTCGTAACCTGGAAGAGGAGTCTTACTGGGCACTATGATTCCTTGCCATGCACAGGGCCTTCGTTCAATCGTGTCTGAGGGCAACACTGGCCAACGTCTTGTCCTACCCCTTCGACACCGTGTGCGTGCGGATGCAGGCGGGGATCTTCGCGGACAAGAGCGTGCTCCACTGCATCAAGAGCATTTACGAGGAGCAGGGCGTCGGCGGCTTCTACCAGGTACCTGCGCACCTTGCGCCTTGGTTGGTGCTTCTGACTGACTAGCTGGCTGATTTCCTATTCATCGTTCATGTTCTTGTGTAGGGAGTTGGCGTCACGCTTCTCAAAGTGCTGCCCTTCGCCCTCTTCATGTACTTCGCCTTCCACTTCAGCAACCAGTGGTTCGAGAAGCACGGCCGCGACGAGCGCTTTTCCTCCCTCCACTCCTACCTCCACACCTACTGGCGCGCCCTCTCCACGCACCTCGAGACCGGCTCGCTGCAATGGCGGAGCCACGCCCAGAAGCAGTTCCACCATGCCGAGTAAAGGCCAACGCTGCCAGCCCATTAAATGAGGTTCTTTCAGGAGGATTTGAGCTTTCTGCTGATGAAGGAGACCCTGACCAAACGGGGGTGAGGCTCGGGGAAGGAGTGATGCAGTAGGGCCGGAGGCAGCTTGCTTTGTCTTCTTCTCGAAAGACTCGGCAGCCTGAAGAGCTCTGATGACAGAATTCAAGTCGGTCAAATGCGGGGTGGTGTAGTGCTGCTTAAATTAGGTAACGACACGACAGGGCAAGAGGAGTTGGAGCCCCTTGTCTCTTGTACGATCCTCAGAACCGACGTGTCCATGGTCTCACTCCACCGACGTGATTTGTGCACATTGTTTGTAAATCCATGCTGGCACTTTTGAATTAACAATAATCCAGGTGGTGCAACATTACCACTCTCCTTTGTGTCACACAGGAGCTTCAAGAAACCTGGTTTATACGCCTCACCTTCAACATGCCCAGACCTTGTTGTTGTCCTTGGTGGTGAGGCATTGGAAAACTGCACATACTCAGGTATTAATACCTGCCTCCACCTGTACATTTGGGCCTGGAGCACAACTTTTAGCATTTCAGGTGCGGACCCAGAAAAGGAGCACAAAATGGGGCACAAATCTGTTCTTCCTGGAAAGTTCTTCAGCTCTGGGAAATGGGGCGGAAACGGAGAGAAAACCACGGCACTCAAGACACCAAAAGCTGCAAAATAATAAACTTAAAGATGGAGAGGAAAGAGGAGGACGCCGGCACGAGTGAGGTCGAGGGGGAGGTGGACGACTACCCCCCGTGCCTTGGTGCAATTTTTGCGGCGTGATGGCTTGGGAGCGCTACAGCAGCGGTACGCCA